ATATCTTATTCTATATTATATAAAAATTTAATAAAAATTAATTGCAATAATAAAAAGTTTTATTAGTAGCAAAGTTTTATTTTTTATAAAAATTATATTGTATTACAAAGATCATATAAAAAATGATCTATATACACTCTATTCTTAAATGCCAATTCTTCATATTGGAAAACTTCTTTTTGGGAATTTCCTTATATATTGATCTTCTAATCATATAGACTTAATCATAGGGCTTTATATACATTTATATACTTTTATAAATTACAGAGTTTTGTCTCTAGCTAGAATTGAACCATTGATCTTGTTTGTGAAAAGAGAGGTGCCTAAACCATTAGACTACAAGATCCCATCCTCTTGAATGAGAGATATTACTAACTAGGCTGTCAAAAATCTCAAACTAGAGAAAAAAGATCTTAAAGAACAGACTATGAAATACTAAAAACAGGTTACAGTCCTTTTAGACTATCTGAATTAGAAGTCTAAAGACTAAAGCAAAATATAATTTAAATATTAGAGATATGTTATAAAATTGGTATTAAGGTTTGAATAAATTTTACAAAGATAAATCTTGTTAACAAAGATTAAATATAGGTAATTAGTTAGCAAGAGAATTTTCTAGAACCTTATAATCAGGTAATATATTCTGAAATATGTAATAACTTAACAGATATACAGATAGGAAGGTCAAACTTAGGTTAAACAATACTTTAGTATATAGAAGCTTATGCGTTATCTGTCATATATAATATAAAAATCATCTTATAAAAGTTATATAACCATAATTAAATTATAATAAAGACAGTAACTACTAATAACCAACAGCCTTAGTATAAACAAAAAAAAAATAGATGTATCCTAATAATTATATAGTTATATAATTCATAAAAAACAAAATTAGAAATTAGAACTAGTTATTATAATTAGATTTATAACTAGATATAATCAGTTATAAATTATAACCAGGTTATAAATTTTTAATCTAATTAATTAGTTTTATTATAACTGTCTTTAATTAATTAATTCATCTGAATAATTAAAAGATCATTTAAATATATTAAAGACAGTATCTAATTCAATCTCTTATCAATTTTAATATATGTATAATATTAACAATCTTTGCTAAGAGGTATGGCGACCTAGTAAAGTAGTTAGGTTGTCAATCCTCAAGTGGCAGGTCCAGAGTTTAAATCCCAATATCAATAAAAAATTTGAAAATTCTTTCTGTATTACAGTTAACTGTCTCTCATAATTGGTTAGAATAAGACACCTGTTACCTATGTCACATCAGTATAACTAGCAGATTATATAGTATTTGTATAACAGTTACATAACATTGTCTTTTGGAACAAGGTCTATGGTTATACAAAAGAATGCAAACTGGTACTGGTGATGCAAACCTACAATAAGTCCTTATAGCTATGTAAATCATAGAAATCAAAAGAATGAGATGAAAGCCTACTTGAAAGACTCAAATAGAAAGGTAACCTGAGTTTTTGGCAGTGATATTATAAAAACTAGACTTATGAAACAGAATTAGAACTTATGAAACTGGACAAATATGCTAATCTTTGAGGAAGGACTAAATAAACCAACTAGGCTATTAGAATTTTCAAGTTCTAGAAGAAAAAGGTACATGATGACAAATATGTAAACCAGAAATATATGATTTTGACTTACCTTTCTAGACTATCTGAAATGACAGCTTGGTAAAACTTGAATTGAATACCAAAATAGTAAAAATATGTTATAAAGTTAGTACCAGAGTTAAGGTGAACTCTATAAGGACATAGTAGTTTAATGATATGCCCTAATCACCAGTATTGGTCTTAATCATAGCGATATTAGGTCAACTGTAAGAATAAGATACAGAAGATTCTAAAAGATTTAGTATAAGGTTAAAGGTTCCAAAGAACTGCTTTAAAGACTTAGTAGCCATGGCATATTTTTACCAGCATCGGTTAGAGTCATTGGTAAGCAGAAGTAGGTGGGTAGATATGGAAACAGAATGGTTAAATAAGGAACCTACAAGTGGGTTCCAGGTATGGTAACTAGTGTAGAACCTTTGGGCAAACTACTTAAATTAGACAATGACTAAAGTTATATAAGTAACTAGTTGTATACTCTCTTCATGATTACCCTATGTGGTTATAATGTAACTATTAGCCAAATATACTATCAATAAAATTCTGGGTCGCAAGTACTCACCTTAATATTTAAAAAAAAAAAAACAATCTTTGCTGTTTATTTGAGAGCCATAAAGAAAAACCTACTATCAAGCTTTCAATTATATATATTCTGTACTAAATCAAATTTATTTAATTGTGTTTAATATAAAATGTAATTGAGCCTAATAGCAAGTTTATCTTTGATGATACTCATTTATCTTACATTATTTACTGTAACTTGCACACATAAAACTTAGTTTTGATTAAATAAGATAGTTGCATGATGCAGTTGTGCTAGAAACCAGAAATGAAAACAAATATAGTAGTTAACAAATAGTTCAAGTAATGTACAAACAAGAACTGATCTAACATCTCATTAATATATCGTGAAGCATTTGATATACATATAGTCAACTTGTATTAGCTAATCAAACAAAAGTTTACAAGACATCATGTAATAATTATCAAGTTATCCGATTATTCAAAAAATGAAATTTCTCTCGTCTTTGACGATCAATGATTATCATTCTAGGATCCAATAAAAAGTCCTACAAAAATAAATAAAAAATGCCAAATATCAGGTAAATATGCAAATTAATTTGCATCAGGTTACCGATTTTTGTGTCTAAAATTCTTGCTTTTACTACCTTAAAATTTGATGAATAAATAATTAGCTGATTAAGCGGTTATATTAAGTCAGTCAAATTCGTTTAATTGGTAATAATTCGGTTAAATCCGATTAATCGGTTATAATAACCGGTTAAATCCGATTAATCGAATTTAGCCGGATTATTATAACCGATTAATCGGATTTAACCGGATATATTATACCCGATTTATATTCGGTTGTGATTTTTAAAAACTTAATAAAACCAGTTAATAAAAATAAAACCGGTTCCAACCTATAGGCAAGATTCGCACCTACCCACTGTAATCTATTAGAATCGTACTGATGTATACAAAAAAATTCATTCAAAACAATAAAAAAAAAATAAAAAAAAATAAATGCATTCATGCCCTCTTGAATAGTGTTAGGTAAAACCATTTTATCTGAATATTATCCATTTTGCGAAACACTACAAGTTTAGATTTCGAGATCACGTCTAACACAGAAATGCTTGTAGCTTAAAATTTTATCTATGAAAGTGCCTTTTGTGTACTAACAAAAAGTTTTCCTTACAAAACTATAGTCATTAACCCAAACACTAACCTACTGGTGGGTCCCTAACCCTAAACTAATAATTGGCGAATCTTTTAGGATGACGGTGTTAAACTTATAGATCATTCCGAACAACAAAAAAAACGCGTCTTCGCGCACTAACAAAAGAAGTTGAGATGCAACTTTACACACAAGGACATTCCTAAACCTAATAAAAACAACCTAATTCTAATGCTAATTAAATAAATGATCCGGAAAATTTGGTCTGCCACTCTGATGCTATTTAATCTACGGAGTTCTAAATTGCTCTGAAATCACGGGACCGAGGATAGTTACGGTTTTGTATGACTAAACAATATTCATTTTGCAACGATGTTTTCATGCAATATATATATGTTCTTAAACTTTTGAATTTTATTTTTATAAATTGATCATGTGTTTAAGGATGCGCGTCAAATCATAAACCTTTTAGAAAATGTCCGGATATCGCTGCCATAATTGAACTGCAAGGTCGTATGCTTCTAAATCTGTATTAAAAATATGCAAAAGTTGTAACTATGAATATGTAAATAATTAGACGATAAATGCAGACGATAAATGCATATCATACCAAATGGTTCACCAATTGTAAGATGATTATATTCCTTAATTGATAGATCATCATTAACGCGCCCAATAACTTCAATATAAGATTCGGGGTTCAATGGCGCATCCTTAAATAAGCAAATGATAAATGAATTGGCATTGATTAATCAGAAAGTGGAACTTTTATACCTGTCCAGGCTTTAAAACGACTTGAACTTGTCCTTTATCACTAGCTTCTAGCTTAGCGGTTTTACTTGAGGCCTATCAACCAAGTCTTCAGTTCAGAAAACGAACGATGTATTCGAACACGAGAGCAAAGTATTGCTTAGTGATTACGATACCTCAAGAACTTTACCAATCAAGCGAACGGTTTCGCCACGATATTTCGCACAAAGTGCAGAGTTGATTCTTGGACTTCGGAGTACTTCAGACGACATTTAAAAATATTTGTAAAGTTTGGTAACAAATAAAGACGAGTTTATATTACCATATTGGCGGCTTTTTACAATTCAGATATGTCACCTGAATTCCAAACATGACCAAAAGCCAATCACGGTTGAAGATCGGGTGTAACGTAGCACTAACGTAACACAATCAGGAAAATTTACATTAATGCTAAACTCTAATATAAACGTTAACCCTAATATTAACGTTTTTAGACGGAACCAACCAGCAGTGTTGTACATTTTTCACTGTCCAAGGCTTTTTGATTATGTCTAACGTTCAAATGTCCAAGAGTGTCCAAAGCATGTTCAAGTTCTAATAATTAATAAATTTGTTTAAAAAATATTGGTCATCTTATTAAGCATGATATACCAACTTGATACATTTGAATTAAAATGTAATTACACAAAATTTTACAT